TACATGCTCCATACTTTTATATTTTTTAAACATTTCTTATAGACTATTACCACTGTGGAAACATTGCTCTTGGTTACAGGAGACCAACCTAGGTGGACATTTTTATTCTGTGCATAATCAGAAGTGGGAATCTAGCACTGGATTACAGATGAGTAATTTGTTGAGAAGTTTAAACAAATAATTAAAAGTGTCCAAGCACTTCTGTGCCTAAAGCTTACCACCAGCACTAACCGATTAATTACATATCATTTAAATTTCAGTTTTTATTTCTACAATCAAACATCAACAATTTAAAACTAGGTATAGAACTACATAAACTAATCTGGCAGCAACAGATTTTAAGCCTGGTGAAGATTTGAAAGGTTTGTATTTTCACTTTTTTTAAAAAATTTAATTCATTGGTACATTCTAGGTAGACAGTACAGTTACATTCATTACTGGGATCTTGTACCTTTATATGCCAGGTCTTGGTTCTCATTTTTTCCCCCTGTCCCCCCATCCACTTTTACATTTTCTCATATTTTTTTCCTTTTCCCTTATTCCCCTTTCCCTATCCTTCTCACTGTCCCTACACCTTTGGTCCTTTTCTTCCTATTTGCTAATTGTCCCGTTAGGATCTTGAGTACTATTTTAGTTTTTCACACTAGAGAAACTATTCGGTATTTGCATATGGGTGACTTATTTCACTTAGAAGTATATCCTCAAAATGTACCCAGTTACCTATGAATGAATCTTTCTCATTCTTTATGGCTGAGTAGTATTCCATTTTATTTTCACTTTTAAAATGTATACTCTGGATTTTTAAAGTACACTCGAAATCATCTGGATAAGCTTCTCATATCTAAAATCAATAAAATTATAGCAGGCTGAAGAAAAAGGCTGAAGGGACTTATAAGGAAATTAACTTTTATGCCAAATGAAAGCCAAATCATTTAACTTATTATTTAAGAAGAAAAGCCCTGCAATGTTCAAATACAAAAATCGAGTATCATGGGACAAATAGTACATAGAAAACTGTATGGCCGGGCGTGGTGGCGCACGCCTGTAATCCCAGCACTCGGGAGGCTGAGGCAGGAGGATCGCTGTGAGTTCAAGACCAGCCTGGGCTACATAGTGAGCTCCAGGTCAGACTCAACTACATAGTGAAAAACTGCACACCTGTACGTACAATAATGCAATCGCTGTGCAAAGAAAAATTTAAGGTGGTTTCACCAAAATAACATCACTCATCATCCCAAGTTTAATCTTTTTTATTGCTTTCATAGTTTTGTTTGTATTTTGCTCATTAATCTACTTATACTTCATACTTGGTTTTGTACATTTAAACAATGAAATACCTTAATAAAATAATTTAAACCACTGCTGGGGACTCATAACTTTTTTTCCTCGTACTTCAGATTAATACTGATGAAAAAACAGAAAAATCCCAATCAAAGAGCTCCATTTCCAAAGCCTGTCTCTCCTAGCTGCTGACTACCCTGGTCAAGGCCCTCATGTCTCTGGGGCTCAGTTTCCCTAAGGTTCACTACGAAGATAGCTGTTAGGGCCTGTAATTCAAAAGTTCTGCTTCTCTAAAAAAATTCGCTTCTTTTTAATTTCTTTCTTGTTACAGCATTCAGTAGTCAGTCTATCACACACCAGTATAGAAGATCCCATAATCTTGACATCTGGCAGAAATAACATGTCGCATGTCCTGCACATTGCACCTTCACATTGACTCCATGCACCACAATGTCCAAAGCCCCAAGGTCGGCAGCACACAATGGTATCTTTACCTTCATTACTTCTCTTCCGCAAAACATTCTACATAAAACCTACCAGATTTATCTCCCTAAATTCATTTTTCCAAAATTAATTCTCCAAGCCTTCTCTAGCAGGACACCATTCAATCTCTCCTTCTATCTTCACAAACTGCAGCAGTTCTGAAACTGAAACCCCCTGAGGCACTGACACTGGGGGTTGTCTTACCTGCCATCCCTAGGAGACAGCAAGATTCAAAATAAGTTGAACAACCCCTTATTCAAAATTCTTCAAATGACCAAAAGTTTTTCGGATTTTCTGGATTTTGGAATTTTTGCCTAGACTTTACCATTTAAGCTTCCCTAATCAAAAAATCCAAAATACTCCAAAATCTCAAACATTTTGAGAGAAGTATTTCTGCATAACAGATTTTTGGATAGGGATGCTCAGCCTGTAAGTGTTCAAAAAAAAAGTAATGCCTGTCTCCCAAAAAAAGCGGGTGACATTAGACTACCTGAAGAGGGCAAAATTCCTCCTCTATCTCTAACACATTATTAATTAATAGACAACTATTTGTGTCACAATAATCTGAAAACTGGCCTTAAAGAGAACTAAATAATCTTCCATGATTAAAAGAGAGCTAGTGAAGAAACATTTTAATTCCCTCTTTTATTTTTAAAATCTCTACTCTTACTACAAAGTGCTCAGATTAACATGGAACAATTAGAGCATAAAAGCTATAAAGAAAAAAAAGAATCAAGAGCCTATGTAATAATACAATACCATAAAATTAATTTTTAAAGTAACAATAATTTAAGAACTTCTGCCTCACAAGCGCAAGGTCTCAAGTTCAATTCCCAATTCCAAAAAAAAAAAAAAGAACTCAGGTATTTACTTAAAAATTTTTTTTCTGGTCCCTCATCCAGGGATTTCATACTGAGCTACATCTCCAGCCCTTTTCGATTTTGACACACTGTCTTGCTAAATTACTAAATTGCCCAGGCTGATCTTGAACTTGCAGTCCTCCAATCTCAGCTTTCCAGAGTGCTGGGATTACAGGTGTGTATCATCATACCCATCTTACTGCGAGTAAAAACCAAAAGTCAAAATATACACATCCACACAAAATCTCTATAGAAACACACAATACAATGTATGATATTGATTGACATACTGTGATATCACTCTTTGTAGGCAACTTGAATACTGAAATTTACTGCTAAGCATAAATGTTGCTAATGAGCATTTCTTAAATATTAATGTTTACTCTCATACATTCAGTGTCACTGACCCTGCCTTCTACTACTGAAGCTGGGGAAAAAAAGAGGACCCCAAATTAATGTATAAAAATCTGACCCACATGTAACCTTTCAGTAGCAATACTGTCCATAAGCCCCGAGGAGAGAGACAGACTGCTTAGGGATCCCACAGCACAACCTAAAACATATGCAGACTTCAGGTAACCCAACCCAAGTAAACCAGGGCCATCAAGTCAGCCAATCCAATTCTCTTGCTCTTTGAACAAAGGGGGAAAGATGTGCGGCATTTAGAATACAAGAGAGATTTCAATTTATCTTTTATTTTTTGTCCTATACTGGGAATCGAACTCAGGACCTCGCGCTTGAGAGGCAGGCACGGTGCCACTGAGCTAGATCCCCGGGCCTGGTTTCAACTTTTATCTTTACCAACTGAATGTGCTCACAACCAATGCTTCTGTCAAGCCATCTCAACTCTGCTTACCAACAACGGTAAAACGACCAAAATAGAGCTCCCGAGACACTTGGATTATAAAACCTACTGTGAAATCTCCCATAACTTTACTCTGAATTTACTGGAATTGGAGGGGGGCAGTAAACAACTTCCCTGAAAAACACGGGCGTAAAATAGTGCTGAGGGTTTATCTCAGTTGATATTTGTCAAACGGTAGGGCCACAGGGGGTTACTCTGCGTATGACAGGGCCATTAAAGTAAATAAAATGGTTTTTCTATGGCTACAAAACTGGCCCATACACTCAAAAATATGGGAGCATCCACAGCCCAACAAGTTACAGAGGACAGACCTTAAATGCAGAAGAAAATACCCCTTCCCTGCCTCCCTAAAGAAAGATCACAACCTGATAAACTGCTGAGCAGGACCCAACCAAGCCTGAGCAGAGTGTATTTCAGATATTCCATCAGGAAATCATGCTGAGTGCTAGAGGATCCTCTAGGCCTCTGCAGCAGCCTTGGGTCCAAGAGCAAACTTGTAGTAGTGTAATGTCGATGCCACAGCGAGGCTGCTGACCCTTCGAGCTTCGGGCGAGTCGATCTGGGACCCGGGGCGCCATCGCGCCCGTCCAGCACCCGCCCGTCCAGCACCCCGACCCCACGGTCGCTAGGACCCGCTCTCCTACCT